GCTTTCTGCTGCTTTTTACTCATCTCTACTTATAACAATGATAATGAATTTTATTTAAAGCACCTTTCAAGGAACTCAAGGTCGCTGTACTAAAAATAATAGAAATCAAGTTAAAAGCAAGCTAAAACAAATCACAAAGTCAGACAACAAAACAACAGAACAATCTCCTAAACCATACGCAGCCTTGAGGAGGTAAGTTTTTTGTTTAGATTTGAAAGTGGTGAGGGAGTCAGAGCTCCAGATGGCTTGTGGCAGAGAATTCCTGAGGCGAGGTGAAGAGCAACTTAAGGATCTGAGGCCCACGGAGGTAATTCAATTTAATTCAAAAACGATTCTATATTTGAATACAATTTTGACTGGAATATGTTGCCAACCCGTACAAAAAAAATAATAATAAAAAAAACAGTAAAGGCCAAAGTTTGAACACACCTTCTCATTCAATGTGTTTTCTTTACTTTCATGACCATTTACATTGGGAGATTCTCACTGAAGGCATCAAAACTATGAATACATGTGGAGTTATGTACTTAACCAAAAAAGATGAAATAACCAAAAACATGTTTTACATGCTATTTTCTTCTAAATAACCACCCTTTGCTCTGATTACTGCTTTGCACACTCTTGGCATTCTCTCAATGAGCTTGAAGAGGTTGAATGAACATGAAATGGTTTTTCAACAGTCTGAAGCTCATCAAGAACATCAAATATAAGTCAAATTTTGTTCTATACATAATTTATTACCTATAAATATCTGCTGGGAAGGAGGCAAATAAAAACAGCTAATACATATTGTTGATCTTTTTATAATTTTGTTGTTTTATTTTTATATTTTTAGCAGCTTACCATATTGCTGTTTCATTTGAAACATCATCAAATAGAATATTGGATTAATCGATGGAGGATTAGATAGAATATTTGAATACTAAAATATTCTATAGCTGCAGCTCTACTTCATATGCTTGCTAAATATTAAAATAGTCTTCTACCCCTATTTCCTGCATTAGATGCCAAAAGGAAAAAGACACAAAATGGTCAGGTCAGAAAAAGTCACACAGACCTATGTCAAACTGTAAATTAGCATGGATGTTTCTCAAAACTAAGGCACCTTGCCTTGATGTCTTGGTCCCACCCTGGTTACCTAGGAGATCCGTTATCAGGAACCGCCAAGGCATGTTCCAATGTTCATGTTCTACTGAGGTGTGTGTTCTCTGTTTCTTAGCCGTTTAGCTAGCTGAACAAGGATACATGGGAGGTGTCTTGTAGCCTAGCCTTGGTCAAAAATTTCCCAGAATACAGCACAGTACTTTCAAAAGGATTGCAGATCAGAAGCTGGCAGAGCTAATTTCAAGTTTAAATGTAAGTAAACTAATCTAAAATGATTGTTTTTAGACCCAAAGAAGTTGGTTAGTTGCTTTGTAGTTGCAGTTTCGGTGGCTAGCAGGTTAGTTGCTTTGTAGTTGCAGTTTCGGTGGCTAGCAGGTAACTCGCTTACATATTTAATTTTAACAATATATACACAATTTAAAAAGTAAAAAGCTCATTATATACTGTATATATATATTATTATATATTTTTTTAACTTACAAGTTAATATAACGTTATCTCCCGTGTCACGTGATGATACGTGACCACCGCGAAAGCTGCGGTCAAGATGTAAGTTTGTTCCATTTAGTCATTTTCTTTGACCAAGGAAGGACAGTGTCCTTGTAAGCAAGGCACCTGGCCTTGCAAGCCATCGCCTAGCGAGGCAAGGCACCTTGACATTGAGAAACGCCCATAGACTCACCCATCTTGGCTCGTGAGGCTGTTTTTTTTAGGCCAGGAGAAAGAAGAGCGTGTTTCAAGTAAGCTAATTTTTAGCATTCACAACATTGAACTCCTTCAGGTTTGTGTTTGTGGAAATAAAACATCAACGTTGCAATTTTTACAAAAGAAAGAAGAGTGAACAGAGGCAGTGGAAAAGTTCAAATATCATGAATAAAAATGAGTAAGACTCATATCCTGCTGTTTTTGACCCCAGCTCCTACCTTCTAGTTCTTGAAAGAGAAGCTAACGAGCATTTTTGTCCACAGTGGACGGCTCACAAAGCATTAATTTACACTAGAAACTAGGGTTGTCACAGTAACTGGTGTAGCGGTAAACCCCGGTAAAAAAGTTAATAATAATAAACGCCTTGTTTTTGAAAAAATAAATTATCTCGGTGGATTACCGTGGCTGCGGTGTAGGCGCGGTGACCCTTACCAGCCACTGTATCATCTGCTAAAGTTGCCGGCAGCACATGCGCACTTTGTTGTTTACGACCAAAGCTTTCTTGAAGCTAAAGCTGAAATAATGGCCAAAGGAGGAGACGGCAGCGCTCAGGACATTTATAATCCCTCAAAGAAGACAAAGTCAGAAGTACGGGCATTTTTTGGATATTTGAAGAATGCTGAGGGACAGTTGATAGAAGACGGCTGTCCTGTTTGCAGCACATGCAGAAAAAGTGACTGTGAAAGGCAGCAACGCTTCAAATCTCATGACACATCTGCATGACCATCACCCACAACTCTACAGTCAACGCAAGGCAAGTTAACGTTAGCGCTTTAGCTAAAATGCGTGATCCGAGGATTTGGGTTGAGGGAGAATGCAACGAGTCGCTATATAAAGCAGCCGCAGCTCCACTACCTGCATATAAACTGTGTCGCGGACATCCCCATGTTGAAATGACGCTATGCATTACGGGGCTCCCAGGGGCAGAAAAGAGTTGGTCTCTCTCCGAGAATAATTATAAATTTAACAATGATTACTGCCTGATGACATTTTCCCAAATCTGCAAAGCTCACTGGAAGGACACAAACCGAGGACAATATTTTCCTGATATAGGGTTTATTACTCAAGTAAGGGTAAAAAAAAGTATGTGATTAGATGGCTACTTGAGTACTGAGTATCATCTGAACTAATATTTTTAAAATGATGACATCAAACAGACCAAAAAAAATAAGTTATGGGAAAATATTTGTATTTTAAAGACTAAAGGGGAATATGTAAACAAATAAACAACATAATTTCAAAATAACAAATTTTAGGCAAAAGTTAGACACAAACTGAGGACAATATTTTCCTGATATCCAGGGTTTATTTTGAAAATGTAGCACGTTTAAAAAAGTACCGCGATAATACCGAAAAATATGATAATTTTGGTCACAATAACTGTGAGGTTAAATTTTCACACTGTGACAACCCTACTAGAAACTATAGCAGATTTTTTTTAATAACATGTAAAGGCCCTCTTTAAATGGTTAAGTGGCTTAAATGCTCAGACATGTCCTAATCCTGAAGGTTAAAGATACATTTAAGAAATGTTGAAGGACCATTTGTCAAGACAGGAAAGTCTGATTTCTTAAATAAAAAAAAGAAATATTTCAAGACATTGCATTGAATTATTAGTAATGGTGGAAAAATGAATTTGAGCCCATGACTTTCACTCTTACGTGCTGTTAGAAACCAGACAAATGGTTAAACAATTAATCAGAGTCTAGTTAATAACCAAATGCACAAAAAGGTCACATTTGACACAGATTATTATCAGAAAACTCCAGGCCCTGGAGTCCCTCAGTCTGCATTACCTTTGCATGCTTTTTGCATAAATAACCAGTTAAAATCCCATCATCTGAACCAGCATGTCCACCCGGCTTTTATTCAGTTACAGTAGGTGTGGTGTTGGCTTATCGCCACAACTTCCCTTGAAATAATAAAACCAAATAACTTTTGAAGGCCATGACTCACACTCATCAGATAAGAGGTGAAAATAGAAACAAACCACGAGGCAGACATTTCTCTCTAAGCCAAAGACAAAAACCTGTTAGTAAACTACCTTTATTTCTGCAGAAAACAGTTCCAGAGATATTTAAACAGACTGAATAAGGATGGTGAGTTAATAAGTGTGCTAGAGCTACAGTGGCTGGTTATAACCACTTTTTGCTTAATGGTTGTCATCAAACAAAACATGCCGCCAATTCATTCCTGGGAACAATTGGCTATAAAAAGTATGTCTTTACAAGGGCTGGGTGCTGAAACTCTGTACTGGTTTAGCACTGACTGAAAACAATTGAAAGGTACTGCTGATACCAAAAACAAAATCTTTTTCTGTCCTAAATTTTGATACTTTCTTAATGAAACATCCTTGTTAATAAGCGTCAAGTGACTGAGGTCACTCACACACAACCCTGCCTCTCCTTTACAACAACACCTGTGCCGAAAACATCAAAGGTTTGGCTGCATAAGCACCAACAGGGCTAAATGTAACATCTATGATAAGACTTATGGCATTAAAGATGAAATTACAAGCAATTTAAAGGGATACTAGGCAGTTTTGGCTTGCTATAAGCACCCCCTAGTGTTCAGTTAGTGAAAGGAAAAGTGAAATTTATCTCCTTGCTGTAAGTTCGTCTTTTTAACACCTTAATCTAACAGCTGAATGCCTCCCCAGCCTTTATTAGTTTCTACAGAAGTGATTTCATTGCTACCCTTTACAAATCAGAAATACATAAACAGAGACTGGATCAGCACTCTGAAGTTGGAAGTGCAATTTTCTGGCCATAGAGTGCGCTGGGGGTCTCAGTGACAGGGGCAGCAGTAGCTCAACAGGTTGAGCGGGTTGTCCAGTAATCGGAAGGTTGCAGGTTCGATCCTGGCTCTGGACAGAGAATTCTGCTGTTGTGTCCTTGGGCAAGACACGTAACCCACCTTGCCAGCTGGTGGTGGTTGGAGGGACCGGTGGCGCCTGTGCTCGGCAGCCTCGCCTCTGTCAGTGTGCCCCAGGGCAGCTGTGGCTACATTGTAGCTCATCACCATCAGTGTGTGTGAATGGATGAATGATACACTGTAGTGTAAAGCACTTTGGAGTCCTTACTCTGAGAGGCGCTATACAAGTGCGGGTCATTTATCATTATCATTAATCATTCATTAACCCTGTGTGTGTGTGTTTTAGCACACACTGGCTGAAGAAAATTATTAAAAGTATGAAAAATTTGCAAAGAATCCCTTTAATAAAGCACCTCATCATGGTATCAATAAGTTAGCCGAAGTCTGCACCGACTTTGACAGGAAAACAAAATTCAGCCCGAGTCGACAACGATCCTCTTCTGATGCTCATTGATATGAATAAAAATAGCTAGGACTCATGTTTACAACGTACTTAAAGAGCAAGTAACGTCTAAATTAACTTTTTTTTGCTGATGAACTGTATAAATGAGTGTCTAATAGTGTTTTAAATGTGTGTATTCATTATTTTAGCATTTTGGTGCATTTTCTTAAAAAATTAAAAATTCTGCCTAAATACCACAGTATAGCTCCACCTTCAGCTTAAAACATAGAATATGACTCATTTTGAATAAATTTTAGCCAATGGCTAAAGAGTAAGATACTACGTAAACCAGTAGAGTACTACGTAGCAGCTCTGTGTCAACGTTATAAAAGCATCGGGAGTCTCGGCCACGCCTTGTGGCGAGTTGGGAGTTGGATTTGCATGAGAGTGTAGGAGGCTAGCCGTAATTCAGCATTAGCATATAGCATTAGCATATCCTAGTCTTTAGCATAGCTTTTAGTGTTATACATACTTATTTAGTGTTAGCTTGGCTGTTGGATATTGTAGTTTAGTTACTGTTTGGCTGTTAGTGTAATTAGGAAAGTAGTTCGGGTTTAGTGCTCCATATCGTGTTAGCATGGTGAGATGGTGTAGTGTAGTATGGTTGCGGAGCTCTGTCGGGTTGCACTCCTTTCCGCTGGACTTAGAAATTAGGCGCCAGTGGTTGCGTGTCTGGAAAAGATTCAGCTCCCGCCTGGTGCTGTAGTTTGCAACCAGCATTTTACCCACGATTCTGCACGTCTCCGTTCCAAGAGGGAGGCTGTGCCCACTGTGGCTCTTCCGCGATTTAGATACAGCCCACCGACTCTGCTCCCCCACCATGACGGGCTACAGTCTGAGGTGAGTAAGCTAAATAAAAGTTTTAACATCTTCTAAAGACAATTCCCTTCCTAAATGCAAAGTTTGAGAGACGTGGTTCACTCCATTTAGCTAATATCAGCCTGCACTGCCTTCGGGCTGATTTGTCAAGTTCACAAAATGTGGAACGGGATGTAAGGTTGGAATCAGCGGCGAATCGGAACATATCTCAAAGCCCTGGCCGACAAAACGGTCCACATGACTGTCAGGCTCAGAGAAAATTCGGGTTGTTTTTGTGTCAGTCGGTAATTCTGCAACAGTGACTCTAAACTGACGCAGCACTAGTTGACAGACAGCATTACAGCGTGAAATCTAGCACAGCGTGACCCGGTTCCGTGAGGAATTCTGTTCCGGAGGTCGCATTTCAGGGTCTCCACATCATATGTGACTGACTTTTACGTTATAATAACATCACACACTAGGAATGTTATAAAGCGCCTATATGGGACAGTGTCTTTTGTATTTTATCTGACTTTATAAACATCAATGTGCTTCTATTTTTTTTTCAGGCTAAATCTACCCAAGACACTGACTGTCAGACTGATTTAGTAATCTGCAAGAATGCACTTGTCCAGGCTGACGTGGTGTTACCCGTAGCAAAGGTGAATTATTTTTAATAATCTTCTATGTAAACATTTTATTACCTTCTAGTTTTAATTTGTTTTACAGATTGTTACAAGTGATTTTATGCTCTTTTAAACGTTTATAAATGTGCTGCTTCTTTGTTTTTATAGAGCTCACAGCCTCAGTGTCTTGTGACACAGGGACCATGACAGAAATTCATCTTCCAGAAGGTCCCAGAGCATCCACACCTCCTGAAAAGACCAAGGTGTGAGGTGTCTGCTGTTGATTCCAGCTTCCACCTCAGTGACAGTGCAAGCTCAGTGAACTGTTCAAGGTAAAAAAATTAAAACATTTCTGAATTTTTAAGATATTAACAATTAAATAAGTATGTGATTACATCATGAAGGAGGCTACTGATTCTGGCCCTGTGACACTTGGTGGTGACGTGTGAGCTGATTCACCTGGTAAATAACTTTTAAATTAAATATTTTGTTTTTGCTATCAAAAGTAAATTAACTAATAACCTGCATTACTGCAGGACACTCAGCAAAATATGGACTCTACACCATGAGGCAGGCACACGTTAATAACTCTATAAGAGCACATAAGGTAAGCAACACCACATATTATTATTATTAATGTACACTGTCCTGGATTTGTTTTCTTTCTGCATCTCATTAGCCTGGCTGATCACCTGATAACTCCTGTCATCTGGTTATGACAGCATGAGGATGTCCTCACACACCTGTAACCTATCAGCTCATCTAGCAGAATAGAGAGAGAAGAGACAACACCACATCTCCTGTTCCTGGAAAGCCTTCAGCCATCCTTCGATGACTGAGAACCTCCATCAGCTCTGTCTCCTGTCTGCCTACAATTATTATAATAAATATTGTGTTTGACAAGTTTTTTCTGCTGCCAAATATCTCACTTTAATTCCAGTTTTTATATTTTAATGGATATTTATGAATTATATTAATTGAATTATCACATTGTCGCATGTTTATCTAGCTATTGTGATGAACTAAACTAGCACCTCACTGTTAAAAGCTCGTTTTAATTTCAAGCATGTTTAAGTATTTATGGACATGAACAAAAACAGGAAATATATAAATTGAGATTTATTTAATTAATATAACAAATAAGGGGGAAAGAATCATTGAAAGGCACATTCTTCTGGAAGCTCCTGATCCCGACGACATCAGCAGGAGACCAGCTGCAGACACCAGAGGATCACCTGCAACCAAGAGCAGCTAGTATCAGTAAATAAATAATGAAATCAGAACAGTTTTAGTGGGCTGAACACATTACAGAATAATTTTCTCATGGGATATTTTCATAACTTCATGCAGCAGACTGTAGCTTGAGCCCAGATCTCCTGGAGAGCTGCTATCCAGCACGTTTCAGTGGATTTTCCTGCTTTAACAGGTTAGATAAGCTGTTAAGCAGATCAGCTGTTTGTTGCTGATTAAAACCAGGTGTGTTGATGCAGATAAATCTCTAAAACATGCTGAATACTAGCTCTCGGGCCGTGGAGACAAACCCTGCAGCTAATCCAATGCTATGGCTAACGGCTACTTACATTCAGAGATGGTTCTGTTGGGTCGGTTCCGGTAATTTCAGGCAACTCACAAGCTCAAAACAATAAGGCTCATGTCCGCTTGTCTCCTCCAAATAGACTTGGTCCCTTTCTTCTCGAGTGTCTGGGTAAGGAGGGGGAGAAACGTCCTCCACTTCTAATGACTGCTCAGAGTGAAGGGAGCTAGCTTCGTCTAGTTAGCCGTCTCTTCGTCACTGCCGCGGCTCCGCCCTCTCGGTCCTCCAGGCAACGCCTACCAATGTTGCATTTTTTAAAATTGATACGTGGGTGGGGTAAGACTCTGAGGCACACTTGACATGCACTTTAAGTTGATGTTAACAGAATGTTTATTTATTTGATTTATTTGGTTTGTTTGGGATGTAAACGGTTTTCATTTATGGTTTTTAGAGTAGACCTTTCCTATTTCTTGCACCGTGGATGTTTACACTTCACCTTCATACTGTTTACTTTTGCACTAAAAGATAAATACTACCTTTTTAAAATTTTTATACAAACAAACTGCATTTGAAGGTTGAAGCTAGGGCTGCAGCTATCGAATATTTTTGTAATCGAGTACTCTATCGAATCTTTTATCGATTAATCGAGTACTCTAGTAAATTATTCTTTTGTGCTTGTAAACCATTATATCAAATAGCATGTTATAAAATAATGAAAGACCTCTTAAAATGAGCAGGCAATTGCCAGTTATTCTTCAAGTTTTATTCAAAATTGGTTTTCAAAACTTCAGCACTTCAACTTTACTCCAAGGTAAACAAATGCAAGCGGCTGCGGCCCAAACACAACCAGAACCGCTCATGGCGCATGCGCAAACATGGCTCGCCAGCTGTTTCCCTATTAACACACGTCCGTTTTAATTTCTACACTTTTTTTTCACACACAATAACAAGGATTGCCGAGAAAGCATGTTTGCCGTGGTTATGTCAAATTATACTGATCACAAAACATTTATTTACTTTCTTTCGTTTTCTCTCATAAATACCTGTGTTCTCCTGCAGCAATCCGAGGGACAACATACATCAATAACAACACAGTAAAAAGCCCGACGTGTTGTGTAAAAACTGCTACTTTTAGCAAATTTTTAGGTCCGACGTGTTGCTACCAGACACACAGTGTGAGCTGAAACTGAGTGCTACAAATGAAAAAGTCGCACAGTGTCCGCAGAATATATAGAAATACAGGCTAAAATGCATTATCTTGTAGAGGCTCAGAGTCCGCTTGCAGAAGAGACATTTACATGTGGATGTCAGGTGCTGCAGCATCGAGGATGTGGTGTTGTGGTAGGCTAAATCCATTTTACAGTATTTACACTGGACTACGTTTTCCACCTTGGTCCCATACCTTTGACATTTTCTGTCTTTTTCACACTCCACCGGGGTTCACGTTGTCCGCCATGGCTTAAGAGAAAGTTAAGTTACATTCGTTACTCTCGTGTGCGTTCAGTGCAGTGTGTATGTGTGTCACTTATTTCGGTCTGGGTGAAACATGACCCCGGGCGATTGCAAAGCCATGAATTCATTAAACATGAATTAAACGAAGCCTCGAGGCAGAGAATTTGACTCGAGGCTTTTTTGTACTCGAATTATTCAAGGTACTCGTGGAATCGTTTCAGCTCTAGTTGAAGCAGCTTACACTCGTTCAGCATCTGATCGCCATGCACCAACTGAAGATGGATACGGCATGGACGGAAGGGAACAAGACACAAAAGAACGTCTGCTTGAGATGAACTGCAGATCTGAATGGATGAAGAACGAAAACACTCCTCAGGAGAAATTGTGTAAGTACTTAACTTAATGCATCTTCTTTCTTTCACTTATTTGAATAAAAATGAAGACTGGATCATTGATTTTTGTTCCTGTAAACATGGTGCACAGCGTGCTCTCTCCCTGCAGGCTGCTGTATAACACAAGGAGCCATGGTGCTTTGTGGTTTCCTTTGTCTTCTTCTGTTGGGAACCACCAGAAGTGCCAGCATGTTTTACCTCCTGTAAGCTACAAAAAGGCCTTAAATAACTTTTCAGATCAACTGTTTGTGCTTTATTCAACCAGTGAGATTTTTATTAACCTAAATAATTTCCTTTAATACATCACTTATGACAAGTCGAGTCACATTTAGCTGTTGTTGGTTTTTTAGTAAATTTATTTTGTTTCATTCATTTTCTGAACATGAAAAGCCCATTTTTGACTTGTTTAAAACATTTTCTTTTAAGAGTCAATCTAATTCAAGCTTCAGTGGACAAAATGCAAATCTACAAATCTAACAGAATAATTTCTTCACGTTGCAGTTGTTTGCTTACCCTAAGTCTGTACTGGGCAGCTGGAGACAAACGAGAAACCATCAGAACACAGATAGTATAAAATTGTAAAGAGCCAGTTTAACTGGTTACTTTAGTAACTTTAAGCAGTTAACTCACACTGAAAAGACACAGCCAGGCATCGCTTTGGTTCCAGAGATGCTGAGTGGAGTTCTTGACTCTGAGGCTTAAACCAGTCAGTCACGGGGCTTTGAGAGTACTAATATATGAAAGATGACACATTTGCCTGCTTTTTGATAAATTAATGCTACATGTGTCCTCAAAGCTAAGTGACAAGGCTTAGTTTGAAAATATTTGGGGAACGTATTCCTGTCTGGCCTGGCCTGTAGCCTTGGATATGTGACTCAGAGTATGATCAGTCCATGATAAGGTGGACATAATATCAACAAACTCAATTTGATTTCAGCAAAATGCTTAAAAATATCAAAAATGTTGACTCATTTAGTTAAATTCCAACATCCTGGGACTTAAATGTATTTTATTTTTTGTCTGGATGGAAGCATTGCAAAGCAAAATCCAAAGAGCACGAAGAATTTGAGGTCCTTGAAACAGTCTCCATCCATTCATCTCTGATCATTGAAGAAGTGTAAAAGTAAGAACTACCAAAAGTCATAACCATGATGCCCCTGAAGAAATTAATGCTTAGATATATTTTAGATAAAGCTTTAACAAAAGGTATGGACCCCTTGAAACGTAACATAACGCGCCCACGCCCCCCCAGCCCCAGGCAGGAGGGCAAGAAGCAGGCACCTCCCCAATGACCCTGTCATGTTCCTGAGCCGAGGTGAGTGACAACATCTTCCATCTCACCACTATCAGGCTGATTTTCCACAGGTGAGGAGCGGAGGGGTTTGCAGCTGCAGAAGATTCCCAATCAGGAGCTCAGGTATAAAATGAGGATGGAGACACTTCACTACGCCGGATGATTGCACCAGTATAGGTAGCCCCAGCCACTCGCTCTTGTTCTTGAAACTCGTATTTTGACATTCACTTTCTGGATATTATCGGATTTTGAACTCGGACTGCATTTGGAATATGCCTTTTGGATTACCCTCTCATCTGGTGTTTGTTTGCCTTCCCGCAGGATCTCCACACACCCTGCCTCACCCTCGCTGTTTGAACTCTGGATTACATTCACCACGTCCCATGCTCCACCGTTGTTCCTGTTTGGACCCTCTCCGCTGCCTCACCAATCCCAGATCATCCCTGGACTAATCAGAGCTCACCTCGGCTCTCTCGCCTCTTTCCCCCCTCGTTCTCCCTGAACTCTGAATGAACTCGAGCGAGCGATCTACCCCACAGGACTTCCCTGTGCTCTTTTTGTTCCCCTTATAATAAAGACTTTTACTTTAATCAGTTCCACGAGTCAGTTTCTGCATGTCTTGGGTTAAACACATACCTCGAGCCATGACAGAATCATCCGGCCATCAATATAACCCAGCAGAATCTGCACTCGCCGATCTTTCCACCTGGATGACGCAGCAGAAGCAGACTCTTCCCGTCATCCTGGAGCAGCTCAGCATTGCTAACCAGCGCTACCAACAATTGGAGACCGTAATCCAGCAGGTCCACAATCGTCTTCCTGTTCCAGCCTCTGCTTCTGCGCCGGCTGCCACCCCGGTGTCTGGTCAAGCCGTCGGAGGAACGTTTCAACCCGGACCGGAAATGCCTGATACACCGGAAGTCACCCACTTCCGTCAGGCTCCGTCTTTGCAATGTCCGACTTTTTCTGGTGAGTTTGATGAATGCTATGGCTTTTTGCTTCAGTGCCGCCTTGCCTTTGAACGATCACCAAGATCTTTTGCCACAGACTCTTTCAAGATTTCTTTTATAGTCAGCCTTTTGAGAGGCAAGGCACTTAGGTGGGCAGAAGCAAAGAGTAGGAATCCTGAATTTTTGTCAAGTTCCTACACAGATTTTTTGGAGGACTTTAAAATTACGTTTTGCAGTTCTGAGACAACCACAGATTTTAGAAAGAGGCTCTTACACCTCTCCCA